CGGCGCCCGCAGGGTCGCCAGGCTCCGCGACAGCCCCGCGGGGACGGAAAGCGGCTGCCCGCGTGGGCGGGTTGGCGCCGGGCTCGCACGCACTGGCCCTGGAGGTGGGGCTCATCCTCCCCGGAGAAATGAGGAAAACAAGGACAACGGAATGAGCTGGTCGTAAAGCGCAGTGGTTTATTCTGAGATTATGTCCTTTCTTTTTTGATGTGTCAGATGCCACCTTCTTTTAAAAATGAAACCCAAGATTATAGTAGATAGAAGGTTTAAAAGAAAAGAAAAGTTTGCGACCCCTGTCGACCTCCAGAATTCTGGAGTTAAATGTTCTGATCCAGGGCCCTAGGTGGCTGGCAGAGAAACTTGACTAGCTGGGCTGCTGTCACCTCCGTGAAGTCCTGCTTCCTGCTGCTCACCTTCCCTTCACTCTGCTAAAAACCTTTTCGCATCTTTGACATCCCTTGTTTTCCCAGATTCAGAGGAACAGGTGTCCCTCCTGCCCAAAGCTAATTCCCTAGGACCCGTCCTCTGGCTCCCTAGGGCTCGTCTCTCACTGAGCCCATCTGTCTCCATGGTAACCTTCAACCTCTTTACTGGTGCTCTCTCCTCAGCCTGTAAACCTCCTCAAGTTCGTCTTAGCGCCTCAAGGTGTGTGCAGCGGGTCTACCTCCTTCTTTGCTTTCATTATTTTCTTTGGAAAAATACTGTCTGAATTGATTGATTCTGTTTCCTCATCAACCCTTCATTTCACAGCCCTAGCTATCTACTGTCCACCTCACAGGTCCAGTGAACTTGCCCTTTTGAAAAGCAGTGCTCTCTAGGGAGAAGAACCCTAAAGCTATGGGAATATTAGACTTAAAATAACAAAACCTACAAACTTGTGTTCAGATCCCAAATCACGCATTTATTCACTTATTCAGCAAACATGAGAGCATGCTGTATGTTGGACTCTGGAGATAAGGAGATAAAAAGACATAATTCCTTACCCCAGATAAGATCACAGATATAAGTGGTAGCATATGCCAAAGGTCTAATGCTATGTAGGAGAAAAACTTAAAATTGAGCTAATTTTATATAGTAAATTTTTTTTTTTCTTGGAAAAACAAACAAAAGCAGAAAGACTCTGGGATTAGACAACCTGGATTCAAATCCTGACTCCACTTTGTTAACCTTGGATAAATTACTTTCCCTCTCTGAGCCTTAGTTTTTTCATCTGTAAAATGGGCAAGTGTTGTGTTTGATGAGGTTATGAATATAAAGGGCTTAGCATGCTGCCTGGTATATAGTAATCATTCAATAAGTGATAGCTATTGCTGTTTTATAATAAATATTGTGTGTCTCTGGGAACCCTAGTCTTCCACAGAAGCTCAGTTTGAAAATCATCATTCTCCTTTTTAGACCCCTTAACACATTTCTTGGGATTTTATCTTCAGAACTCTTTTCTTCTCACTCTGACAACCTCAACACCTGGGGAGCTGTGTGAAGAAAATAGCTTCCCTGACCCTTGTCCAAACTGACTGAATCAGAATATCCAGGGTTTGGACTCAATATTTGTATAAAACTTCCCAGGTGATTGTGATACAGCTAGTTTGGCTGTCCTCTGGAGCCACTGGTCTATACCACCCACCTCCATTTTCTAATTAGAACTTGGTTTTAAAAACATATATTGAACTCCCCAAAATTACACAATTCTCAACAGAGTTGTTAAAAATATTACACAAGAAGCACATACAAAGGGTACACAGATATTAAAAATGAAATTCTGTGATTCTGCTGCCTCGTCCTCACTCCCAATCCTTCAAGTCATCACTGTAGTAGTTAACCCTCACTTCCCGGCCCCATCCTCTGCTTCTCACCCATGACATCTTTGAACCTGGGAAACTACTCTCCTTCAAGTTTCTATCCAAGCTGACTTCTCTTCAGTGTATTTATTTAAGCTATTTATTCAGACTGGTTTCCCCTTTCTTCTGGGGCCGTACATGTATCAGTTATTTATTGCTACATAACAAACCTCTCCTAAACATACTGGCTAGGTGGGCTGGGCTCAGCTGGGCAGTTTTCTGGTCTGGGCCAGGCGTAGCTTTTCTGGGCTGGTTTTGCTCACGTATCTGGTGCCTTCCTGGGAATGATAGAACAGCTGGGGCCTCTCTCTACCTGAGCTGTCATCTCCCAGCAGGCTTGCTCAGGTTTGTTCAATGGTGGCAGAAGCGTTCCTAGTAAGACAGCAGAAACTGCAAAACCTCTTGAGGGCTAGGTATGGGACTTGCACAGCATCACTCTGCTGCGTTGTATTGATCAAAGTCAGTCAAAATGCAAGCCCACATTTAAGGGGTGGGGAATTAAGCCTTACCTCTTGAAGGGAGGAGCTGCAAACAATTGATGGCCACTTTTACAACCTACCACAATACATTGCCTACATTTTTTAAATTGCTGACTCATCTTGGTCCTTGCCGTCTAAGTGTGAACACATGCCAAAGCTGCCCTCTCTTCCATTTCGTTCCTTTCCATTCTATTCTCAGGCTACACCTTGGCCTCAATTATCAGCTCAATGCTTTTTACATAGAAATCTATATCTTCAACCCCAGCGTTTTTGCCGAACCTTGGCCCTACATCTCTAAATGCCCGTGGACATTTCCACGTAGATATTCCACCAACTGATAGCCGTTGATAACTCCACTGATAACTCTATATTCTCTGTTCAGCATTCTTCCAGCCAAATGAACTCCCCAGAACTTGACACTGACATAGCTCTCCAAGTCTAGTCATTTCGCCTGTCTATTCTCATCCATACCACTGGTTGGTATGAAGATAAAATGAAATGATGGGTGTAAAATGGTACAAAGAAGGTATCATTGAGTCTATTGTTTTCACAGCTCAGCACTTCGTTAACCATTTTGTCTCCACTCACACTCCAGTCATTTTCCTAAAAGACTTTAGTGTCCATGTCAGTGACCAAACGAGCACTTTTCGCTCACAATCTCTGTACCTTCCCATTCTAGAGACTTCCCTTCATTTATTCACAGGATAAATTCCTGGATGCTGACACCTGGAATTGCTTCACTTCTGATCTCACACACACTGATATCCCACTCTGTGACCTCAGGCACCTCCCTTGTACATTGCTCCTGCCACATCATGGAGTTGTCCATGCCTGCACTTCTGCATTTTCTTCTGGTCTGCCAGCCTTTTCCTGGCCTCTCTTCTTCCCTTCCCAGCTTGGACCACGTGTTATATTATTTCAGTCACTCACTCCAGTGCTCTCTATTCCCTCGCCTGTGCTCAGCACAATTCCAGCCCTGTGTGGGTCAGTGTTAAAATCTCCATCTCCTTTCGTATGTGCCACCAGAACTCTACCATAAAAACTACACAGCTGTGCAGATTGTTACCATTCCATTTGCTGGGCCACCTATACCATCTGTCAGTCTTTGTTCCTTCTCCCTGGTTAGCTTCACTCCTATTCCCCATGCCAGCTCTTCCAAAAACCTTCATCACTCTTAAGACCCCCTCTTCCTGACCCTTATCTACACACCCATACTCTAAGCAAATGGCCTTGCCTCCTGCTCTTTTGAGAAAAATTGATCATGTTGAGCATGATCAGAAGTCACTTCCTGATTCCATGTCACTTCCATTTCACTTCAGTCACAGCCTTGAGGGGACTTTTCAATTCTTGTGTTGTTTCCAATTCTTTGTTATTATAAACAATTCTTTGATAAACAACCTTGTATTGGTAAACTTTTTACCTTATGTCTGATTATTTGATTAGAATAAATTCCTTGAAAAGGGGTTGTTAGTTTCAAACTTTCGCTGTTGTCA